TTTGGGTGTGCCTGAGTTCCCTCTCCTCACCTGGATCCCTGCGGCTGATATCTGTAGTGATACCGCCTTGGAAACCCAAGGACAGGTTGCTATGAGTCAGATCCAACTCAACAGCAGTGAGTTTGGTTTTTGGTTTTGGTAAATAAGGAACATGGCAACTTTGTGGGGGTGGGGCCATGCCAATAAGGTATATAGAATATTCTGATGTGTGGATTGGTTAGTTTTGCTATTCCCCTAGAGCTTAAACTGAGCCCTCCTAGAGGCAGAAGGGGGAAAGCTCACGGAAGAGAAGAGCTGAAGGTGAGGTAGAATGCATCCTCGGACCTGACATCCCTTAGCAGAGAGACGGCGGAGATGACTGGCTAGGACAAGCAGCAGTGGAACCAAGAGGTACAGAGCGGTGGGCTTCCTGGCCCACAGAGTGAGGAAGCTGAGTGCCTTTGGGCAGCGGGCTTCCTGGCACAGAGTGGGGTGCATCCGGGTGCACCTATGGGCAGAGCTAACAGAGCTTTGTAACGCTTCCCTGAGCAGGGAGGAGGCCAGGCAGAGACACCAAAAGCCAGAGAGGCATGGCTGAGGGGAAACTGTTCTCACTGAAGAACTTCATCCTAAGCACATTCCTGAACCTGCATTGTAATAAAGCCGATAATCGTGAGTATCGTCTGTGAGTTCTGTGTGGCCATTTCAATGAATTATGGAACCCAGCAGAGAAGTAGAGTGCTGTGGGAGGGACAGTTGCTATTAAGAGTTGGTAAAAATTTGGAGGGTGGTGGTATGTCTGGCCTGATAGGAATAAGCTTTGGGCTGCTGATGGTGACTTTGTGTCCCCCTCGGCAAGTTGGAGAGGTCAGAGGATGCCACTCCATGTCCTTGTGGCACTGCTACATGCTGTGACATGGATAGACCTTGACAACATGTGGAGTGAAAGAAGCCAGCTACATATAGCCTGCTGCATATCGCATGATGCCCTTTGGGGGAAACATCCACAAAAGGCAACTGCACAGAGTAGACTGGTGGCTGCCAGGGACAGAGGCAGGGGATAGGGTGTGAAGGGTCATGTTGTTGTTGTTGTTGTTAAGTGCCGTCGAGTCATTTCCGACTCATAGCAACCCCATGCACAGCAGAACGAAACGCTGCCCAATCCCGCGCCATAGGTCATAGGCAGCGGTTTCTTTTTGAAGTGATGATAACATTCTGAAATTGGCTGGACTGACTGTTACACCTATCTGTGAATGCATCTTTTTGTGTGTGTGTGTGTGATTTGGGTGAAAATTTACAGAGCAAATTAACTTTCCATGCAGCAGTACACATACACTTTGTCTCATGACATTGACTACAATTTACCCCAATGCAACAGCTCCCCTCCCACTTCCTCCTAACAGCTACCACTTCCCAGTGTCCATCCCTCCATGCACTCCTGCCCCCTGAGCTCTATCCCTGTGCATAAACAGCCCTTCTTTCTCCCATGATTGTTCTCTCCAAGGAATGGATCTACCTTAGGTAAGTGTTCAGCTCATATGCCTGTCTTTTGTTTGGCTGGAAGCCACAGGTGTGAGTTCAGTTCCAGACCTGAAGGGCAGCTAGGGGCCATAGTCTCAGTGGTTCCACCAAACTCTATCAGACCAGCAAACCTGGTCCCCCCCTTTTTTTTTTTTTCCAAATGATTTTGAGTTTTGTTCCACATTGTTCTCCCTCTCTATCCAGGATCTCCTACATGGATCCCCCTCTGAGTGGGTGACAGTGGTAGCCAGGCACCATCTAGTTCTTCTGGTCTCATAGTTGTATAGGCTGAGGATCACATGGTGTACCAGTCATGAGGACTAATTGTTTCCATGAATCTTTTGTTTTCTTCTGAATGCATCATTTTTAAAAACCCAACTGTACACTCCAAGGGAGCTCTGATGGCATAGTGCCTAAGGCACTTGACTGCTAATCAGAAGGCTGGTGGTTCAAATCCACCAGGCACTCCTGGGAAGGAAGGTTGGGCAATCTACTTCTGTAGTGATACTGCCTCGGAAAGCCAAGGAAGGGTCATTATGAGTCGGATCTGACTCAACGGCGTGCATTTGGTTTGGTTTTTCGTATACTCTAAATAGGTGAATCATACCTCAACTCAAAACCAAAACCAAATCAAACCCATGCCGTCCAGTTGCTTCCGTCTTATAGCGACCCTGTAGGACACAGTAGGACTCCCCTGCAATGTTTCCAGGGATGTAAATCTTTATGGAACCAACTGGCACGTCTTTCTCCCACAGAGCTGTGACCATCTGGTTAGAGGCCCAGCACTTTAACCACTGCACCATCAGGGCTTCCTGCTATTCCAATAAAGCTGTTGTTAATATAAATATACTGCCTGGGCTTCCTGGAGAGTCCACTTCTGCAGGATGGGCCCTGATTGTAGTGTGAGCCTGGCCCCAGTCCTGGCCTCCCATGTGGCTCTCCCCAGTAGGGCAGGGACAACTGTGTGGCACACGCTGGCCCCCAGGTGTGCCTCTGGCCTTCTGAGCCTGCCTGCTGCTCCCTGCCTGCTCTTGGCCCAGCCCTCTTGGGGTCGCCCTCCAGGGAGTTAGTGAGCCTGCGAGCAGGTAGAGATAAGGCAGAATCTTGGTCTCCGTCCTGAAAGCAGGCTGGAGAGAGGTTGGCCGAACCCCGGCTGCACCATGTTGGGGAGGGCGGCTGGTTGTGAGCACCCCACAGCAGCCACCTGGGTAAGGCGATGCTGGAGCAAGGAGCAGGAAGTGGCCCCCCGAGAAGGCCAGCTCCCACCACCCCATCTTTCCAGTAGGCAACCCTGCAGGGCTTGTTCCCACCTCTTCTGCCCTCTTCTCTGGTCCTAGCCTATGGTGCTCACATTCCCACACCGCCTTGGTGGTGGTGGGATGTTTTCTGGGTAAGAGTGTTTCTCTTGGACTTTACTGAGAACCTTCCTCCCAAGGCAGGCCCGGGATCCGCCCCCTCCCCAGGGCATAGAGCCGCCTGGGTAGCGATGGTGTGTCGGCCTGGAGGGGTTCCTGGCACCAGGCAGCCTCTGCAAGGTGCTTGCTGTCAAGGCAGGGAAGAGGGGCCCGGCGGGGGCGGGGCCCGGGCGGGGCGGGGGCAAACCGCGCGCTGCTCTCGGTTCCTGCCGAGCTCTGGCCACGCGCCAGCAAGCGTTCCAAAGCTTTGAAAATGTAACTGCTGTGGTCCGCATGTACAGTAGGTTCTATTTTTACCGCTCATTAAAGGAGAGGAAAGAGCTCTAGAGGCTTAATGGCTAAGGCATTTGAGTGCTAATCAGAAGGCTGGCGGTTCAAACCCACCAGCCACTCCTGGGAAGGAAGGTTGGGCAATCTGCTTCCGTAGAGATACCGCCCCGGAAACCCAAGGGCAGGTCTCTATGAGTCAGAACTGACTCCGTGGCAGTGAGTTAGGTTTTGGTTTAAAGGAGAGGAAACAGAGCGGGAGAAAGTTTGGGGAGCCTTGTGCGAGCTCTTCCACCCCCTCACCTTGGGGCTTCTCTTCTGAGCCCTGCACCTGGCTCCCAAGGCCTGATAGGGGAGTCTCGGCTCGGCTTGGTCCCCGCCTAGGCCTGCTGTCCCGCACCCTGGCTGCGGCTTCGCGGGCCTCTGGCGCTCAGGCGCCCGTGCAGGACCCCGGCTGGGCTGTTGGCAGAACGTGGAGACTGGCTGAAGGGGAGGAGCGAGGGCGTCTGGGGAGACGCCAGACCTGGAGCCCAGGGTCTTCTGCCTGGGGAAGGCTGCGCAGGGCGGAACTGAGTCTCCGTGATCGTCCTCAACTGCCCAGATGCCCTCCAGAAGCGCCAGGACGCTGGAGCCAGGCAGGGCCCTTACCTCGGGGAAAGCTTGCGGCTAAGGGACAGCTGGAGTGAGGGGTGGCCTCTGCGCAGGGCGGGTCAGAGCTCAGTGGGCAGTGAGCCTTGGGGAGTCACTTTCAGGATGGTACACAATAAAATCAGTGACAATTCTGGCCTAAGTGCCTTCTGAAAATACCCTGCTGGAGAGACAAAATCATTTATGAGACAGCAACCCTCTTTCCCTACAAACGTTGTTCTCGCTGAGCCATAAACCTGTGGCGCTGAGTGGATGACGGAACCCCTCCCGACGCAGGCCTGCCACCTAGGGCCTAGGCTGGAGCTCAGCCAGGAATTGCGGCTCTGGGCTCTTTCCACAGAAAACAAGAACTGGAAGTTTCAGGCCGGCTGGGGCTGCGGCTGATGCTCTGAAGGAGGGTTTGGGGGCCTGATCAAGGGAGCAGGTGCCCACTGTCAGCCTGTGGTAACAGTAGCAGCTTCAGGCAGAGGCCCTGCAGCACAGAGAGGGGCTTTCCCCGCAGGGGCTGGGCCAGGACAGGTGGTCTGCCCCGGAGAGGTGCTTACTGCCAGGAGGCCAGAGTGTTTGGGGACCAGCCCCAGAGAAGACAGGACACAGCTTCTTGGAGGCCCCAACCCCAGCAACCCAGTGGTGCTATCTCTGAGAGGCCCTGGACTGACCAGGGGGCAACCCCGGACCACACCCTCCCTGTCTGTTCCTGAGGGTGGGGGTGGGGGGACAGATTCCTGAGGAGCAAAGAGGGAAGGGTGCATGGTGCCTGCCCTGCCTGCAGGAGTGGTCTCTCCAGCTCCGGTTGGCTGTGTCATCCTGACTCCCTCCTCGGACTGGCCACCAGACTACCCAGTTAAAAGGAGCCCCGGTGGCACAGTGGTTAAAGCGCTCAACCGCTAACCTGAAGGTCAGAGGTTGGAACCCACTAGCTGTTCCTGGGGAGAAAGATGAGATAGTGGGTTTCTGTGAAGATTGACAGCCTTGGAGACCCTGTGGGCAGTTCTACTCTGTCCTCTAGGGGCGCTGTGGGTCGGAATGGACTCCA